TTTATCATATAGGATATGGTCTATTAGAAGCTTAATTTGGTAGTGTTAGGGTTTTTCTTTTCTTTGGTAATTAGTCCAAACTTCAGGGTGGTTTCTGTAATCAATCCATCTACCCTTTCCCCTTTTTTCCTCTCTTTTCACTGACTCAAAAATTTTCAATGTGCTTCATTAGGTCTGAAAGCCCAAAACAATGGCTATCTCATCCTACCCAACCCCAGCCGAAGCTGGCATACTATGCCTAATTCTAGCAAACACTGCAATGTCTATCTCAGCCATGAAAGAACTCTTCCGCTCGATCCTTAGCATGATTGGCATCCACATCTCGTCGTGGAACGAGCTCTCGGTCGAGCCCCCTGACTCAGTAGAGTTTCGCCTGAGCCCCTCCGAGTCCTACATGGACGAGTTCCGGCGCCTGACCCTGGCTGTGAGATACGATTCGGTTATCCCGTGTGGGGCCCACGGACAAGAATGCTCGATCTGCCTGTTGGAGTTTGACCCGGAGGCCGAGGTCAACCGCCTCTCGTGCGGCCACGTTTTTCACAAGCCATGCCTCGAGAAATGGCTGAGATGTTGGCGCACGACGTGTCCACTCTGCCGTCACCCCATGATGCCTGAAAAAGTCGAAGAAGAAGAAGAAGTAGATACTTGCCCTATGTGACTGTGAGTGATTTGACGTAACTGATCCTAATCTCTAGCCTAATTGCGAAAAGGACCCCATTTTATCCTTGAATTTTTATATTTTTGCAAATTGCCTTGTGAGAGTCGAGGCACGCCTTGAGGGGTTATTTGCAGTTGGGAAGATGAACCGGACTTTTGCATAATCTGGCTAAAGATTTGGGTTTTTAGTTTCGTAGTTAATAATTATATCCTCTCGAAGGAAACATTTGAGTGATAGTAGTTATAGTGTGTATAGTACACATGTGTAATATCTTATGATGCCTAAATGTTTTATGCGTCCTCCTGTAGCGACGGGTCAGCTCGACCGATGTATGGTTGTTTTGAGAGTATGTAATATTTTGAAAGCCTGACGAACCTTAACTATCTCTATTGTTCGAATAGCGTTTGTTATGTTACTGCGTGTCTTTGTAGCCTTCGTTTCGATGTAATCTATAGCTTAGTCTTCTGAGTAACTGTATATTGAAATTCTACAGAAGAAAGGTGATCCTAAGCAAAAATTTTGTTTTGCTAGATGATGAGAAGCTCTTTTTCTCACATTTTTCCTGCTGGAAGTTGGCCTTCGTTCGAGTTTTATGCTTAGTTACTGCATCTGGAGTTGAAATACTCTCATTCTGAGGGAATTTTTCTGTAGTTGGAATACTCATTTGAGGTTGAGATTAATAATAAACAGGAGACAAGACACTCAAGATTATATATATTAGTTTATGTATTATCAAAATATATATATACAGACACAAATAGTCTCTTCAAAGTACTTGAGAGATTTTTGTCAATTGAGTNTTATTAAAAAAAAAAAAAAAAACTCATTGTATATATAATAACCCCAATGCCCCAATACTATGGATAAAGACTATAATGACGACGAGCCTCCATCTGATTTTCCAGCGAGTTCGGAGAGCTTGGATCCCACAGACATGCTGGCGTGCCTGAGGCCCGGGTGGGCCCGGTGGAGTCTGCATCTGAAGGAGCCTGCATGTGTGGTGGGTGAGCACAGGCAGCTGTTTCGAACGCTTGCGGTTTTCCTGAGGCTAACGGGCGATGATGGTATGGACCGTGATGGAGTCTTGCTCGTGTCTATCGATAGGTTTTGGAAGAAACTTTGGGACTTATCCGAGTTTTCGATTTTTGTCTTGGGTTTTTCTGCCATCCTTAAACCTACCTTAACAGAAGGTGCATTTTGTTAGAACTGAAAATGGTGGAATTAGGATGTGTGTTGTGTTCAAGGAGAGGTCTAATCTTGTTATAAAGTTGGTCATGTTTAGGTGATTTTTGTTGAAAAATGTAATTAAAAGGAATTTTTTAAGTTCATATGAACATGAAGGTTGTACCAGATAAATTTTGAACTTTCAATAAAACATCACATTAGAAAGTAAATGAATAATGGATTGGATCAGGCCAAGTATACACATCATGATCAAAATTTTTCTGGTTTGAAAGCTTTCAACCATGCCCTTGTAATGTAAACAAAACCAATTGCCCAAGACAACATAAGGAAAATTCATGTCTTGCAACAATTTGCCAACTAATCTCAACATATTAAATATGTCGAACAAAATAAAATAACTCCCAAACACACCACATACAAATTTCTCGCATCAAAAGAAATTAGCTATTTTACTGGTTGTGATTATTACAAGACAAGGGCACACAAATTACCTGAAAAGTATCACCACAAGCACTGAGTTGCAGAAGTTGTCCAAATTAGTGAATATTTCTGTTCATTTCTATGAGGAAGTGATGAAAAATTGTGGCATATGCCTGGGAGGAGGTGGTCAATCCTGACAAAAAAATGGGGCTCACTTCTTGTCTATTCTTTCTAGGTTAGAACTCAATCTGAGGCTGCTGTGAAATCCCAAATTTTAGCCACAAATTCTTTATTTTTGGGTGCTATTTTTAGGATACTATTGACTTGCCAAGGGCCAACAACAGCTACAAATCCAAGCAAACTTCAATGTACAATAGCCCAATAACCAAATCATAAGAACATAGCCTTAAATGGCTCGTTTCCAATTAATAAGAGGAACCTGTCTACCTTCCAAAATCATAAATAGTTAAATACCAGTTAACTACCACAACTAACTTCTCCAGGTGTTTGAATTTTCCTAACACAGGTAACCCCATGGAGATGCAATTTCTAATAGAGAAACAAATCAAAAGGTTTATTTGTTGATCAAATGGGGTCCTTTCAAAACTACCAACAGATGGACAGCTGCACAGCAAAATTCCAATATTTGAATGTATGCCCCAACTAAGATGACAAAAGGGATTTCTCAACTTATCAATACTTCCTATTCAGAATGAACCACCAGTCAAGTAACACAGAAAACAAATAGGTCTAATTAAATCCGATCGAATAATGATTGGAATACGTATATCGAATATATAGAAGTAAACTAACACCAAGTTGCAGCTAGTTCAGTTCACACGACGTCGACAAAAGAAACAAGTCCTCCCTGTTTCTTAAATGTACCAGTTGTATAAGAAAAAAAGGGTTCTTAAACTTGTAACCTACCATATATGAAAAAGAAAACTTCTCAAAAACAAACACACTGATGACAACACACTGCAATATCACAAACAAGCACTTAAACCTCTTTTCCACTCAACTCTAACTAGAGGAGGAGCATGTGTTGACCCCATCCTTGCAGTCTCTGGTAAGGTCATTAAAAGTCTCGATTTGCTTCTTGCCCTTCAAGAATACCTCACTATCAACTTGAATCCTCATGTACCCGTCGAACTCAACTGGGTTCCCGTTATTGAGCTTGGTCGTCTCGGAATACCAGTCGCTGTTTGAATCCCAAAGATCTTTATAGTCATTGAGAAAATGGGTCGTGTACTTATCCTTCAAGGGGCCGAAAAACGACGTGTCAGGCTCATTGGTTGCTATGTATAAGTTCCTCCCGTCCTCGATTTTGTACTTCAAGGTCGACAAAAGTGCGTCGGGTGAAGTGTCCCTATCGACATTAGGCCATAATTCCTTGTTGCTTGCCTTTTCACCTCGCTCGACGTGAACAGTGTCGAAATCCCAATTCATTCGGGCAGCAATAGCCGAGGCAACATCTAGCAGCCGTCTCGATTTCCAGATCATACTCCATGGCCGTTGGATCACGCTCTCGGTCTCCCCCTCACAAACCCGGTACCAGTAGTTATCGGGCTCCACACTCCCGAACTTCCTCATGATCAGGGTATCCTTAACATCCGCAAGCTTCATTGGAGTAACCTTAAAGTCCTCCACAAGATGCAAGCTCAACTTATCCTTCTTCCGCCACTTGCCCCAATCAGACCAGAACTGGTTCTGGTCCAAAACAGAGGCCGAATCCATCAAGTGCTCGAAATCAAAGTAATATCTAAAATCCTTACCCTCTTCGTCTAGACCGGACGAGGTATAGATTTTAGACAGACAAATACTGAGATCCATGACCAGAGTCCGGTTCAAATACTGCGCCTCCCCAAGCATACACATGAAACTCCATACATACTGGTTCATGCTCTTGCACCTGTCCCCACCACCCGAATATATCAAATACTTGCCCTGACTAAAAGAACCTTCTGATTCAACCGTGGGAAGCACATCATTTACGGTCTCGCCAACTTCCGGGAGGGAATCCACCCTTTCCTCAAAAAATTCAGGCACTTTTTCATACCCCTCAAACCCTAGCATGGGCTTCACTGAATTCTTTTCCCTCTTTCTTTTTTTATTCCTTGCATTCCCACCCGAATGATAGCCTCCGATCCTGACCACACTAAGTGTACAGTTCTCGGACCTCTCAAGCGTGAAACTCCTGTAATCCTTATAAAACGCGGCCTCTTTACTTTCCTTGGGCCTGAACCTCCACGCCATGTGGCAGGAGCTGCTGTTTCTCCCCACGACGGGTCTTCCGAAACGGTAGAAATGGATGTCCTTAAACCGCTCGATGGCCGATCGCATCAACAGATGGAAAACATCGGGATCCCGGCAGCTGATCGGCTCGTCAATCTTGCAGCCACGACTCTCGGGATCCGAAACGGACTCCTTGAGCTCAATTATTGCTGGGATTGCGTTTTCTACATCGGTGATGTTGATGAAGGTGTCGAAGGCGGTCTGATTCACGGAGACAAAGTCCTCTCCGGTACGGACGACGGCCGTGTCGGATTTGAAGGTGGCGTTGGAGTCTGAGGAGAGGAAGCTGGTGAGTTTCGAGGAGGGGTGGAACAGGAGGTCCTCCGGCTGGTAGGTGGCTGCTATGATGGTGAATACTAAAACGCCAACGACGAAGAGGGCGAAGCAGAGGTTTCCAATCACGGCCAGGGCGTTCGGGCCGAGATTCTCGGCCCTGAAACTCCCGTTTCTGTAAAGCGTCAAAGACGGCCGGCCCAACATTTTCCCCTTTTTAGCTCACTCTTCTTCTTATTATTCTTCTCTCTTCACACTGAAATCAAACGACAGTAATTGAAATCGCAGGTAACTGAACGATTCAAATCGAGCAAAAACTGGATTTCCTCCAAAATTTGGTGCCTGTTGAACAGATATGCTCGAGAAAGCACGACGATAGATACAAAAGATGGTGTATGTAAATGCGGGTGGATTACCTGAATGCGAAGAGAGGCGATCAGCTCGCCCGGTATTTGTTTCGATTTTTTCGTCTCTTTCCTTGTACTGCGCGACAGTAGTAAAAAATTGGTTTTAACTATAGTTAAGGAAAAAATGTAGTATAGTTTGTTGTTAATGTATATATTAAAATAATATTTAAAATAAAATAATTAAAATTGTTTTGATATAAAAATAAAAAAAATGATTGAAAGTGATAGATAGTTAAAATTATATAAGTGAATGAATAGTGAATTAAAGTTGATAGACTAGTACGTAACCCGTGCGATGCACGAGATGTAAAATTTGGAAGAATAATATAACCTCACGTACATTAGGATCGAAATTGAAATCATTAAAATACATAGGAACATTGTTGAATTATAAAAAGTTCGGTAACAATCATATATTATTAAAAACCTTCTTGTACACAACATTATGAATTTGATTATTTGGTAACTCCTCATTATCACAAACTAATATTTTCAAAAGAGACAAATCCTAAAAATCAATATTTTTGGTGAACAAACTAATATTTTAGGATTTCTAGGATTTGTCTCTTTTTGGTGAACAAACTAATATTTTAGGATTGGTTATATGAATAAGGCTACCTGTTTTTGGTGTTCTTTTCATTCATTTTCATTCAAACAATCTGATGACTTGGTATAATGAAATTCGAATCTTAAGCTGAAATATTTAAAAAAAGAGTTTTTAAAAATTGAAAAGTCAAGGCAATCAGTTCAGATTAATTAATGGTCAAAGAATATCCGCTCCTTAAAATAAAGACATGTGCTATCATTAACTAAATATCCGGTTATTGATATAGAGTGGTTACCAAAAAATAAAACGCGATAAGGACGCTTCATGAAAATATCAATGAGATAAGGTCATAACAGATCGCTATACATTTTAACGATAAAAGCTCAGATGGAATGGTTTATGATAATTATGTCGTAATTAATGAATTAATTAGATGTGTGAAAAGGACATAATTAATGAGAAGTGTGAAAAGGACATAATTAATGAGAAGTGTGAAAAGGACAAAAACTTACCAATTTTGGAAAATATTTAATGCAAATCCGACATTGACCATAATTTGACCTACTATTTTGGATAAATGTTAATTCTTATTATATAAGTATAGATGTGTAAGAATGATTGATTGATATTATTAAATTATATTAATAATATTGAAAATAATAAAATTAAATTAAAATTGAATTAAATTTAAGTTTTGATTAATTTTTTTTATTATACAGTCTATAACCAATCGCCCCTAACGCGCTGCTTTTAGAATCTTTGAGGGAGTGAATCGAGTGATGATGATTCGCTGCTAAAATGAGCCGCGCGTGATGTTTTACTATGTACTAGTTAAATTATGGCCCTATTAAGAAAAAAAAATCTCTACTTTCATTGGGTGACAATGAAATATATATATATATATAATTGTTATTAAGTTTCAATAAATTTTATTCAATCAAGCAATAAATAATACTATTAGCTCATTTAAATAAAATTGACTTCCATTTAATAGAAATTAGTCGTGGCCCGTGCGATGCACGAGATGATATATTTTCTAAAACTTTTTTAGTATTGAATTTAAATTTAATAAACTTGATATATATGTAACAAATGTAAACAAGTCGACAAATAAAAAATTCATAATTTTTTTTTTTTGTACAATGAAGGAGGCCATAGGCCTATTAGGACTCGACGGGGATACGACACCCCAATAATATCATGCTCTAACCAAACTCCCAGACCAGAAAGAGGTGAAACTACTCGCTAAAGCCCAGCCAGGAGGGACTCTGCCAAGCTCGCCAAATGATCTGCTGCGTAATTCACTTCCCTATGCACGTGTTGGATTCGAACGATCTAATCTCTTTGAATTATACTCTGAATAGCCGTCACCATCGACCCATGGGTCCCTACATCGGCTTCGGGTTTACTAACCATCTTTGTCATACATTGGCTATCAACCTCAGCAACCACTTGACGATACCTCAAATCCCATGCCAATTGCAAACCTTGAAAGAGTCCCCAGAGCTCCGCACCGGTAATAGAGCGATGCCCAATATTCAAATAGAAGCCCTCTATCCAACAACTCATCTCATCGCGGAGCAGGCCCCCCGCAGTGCTCAATCCTGTACGAGGGTCGAACGCACCATCTGTGTTTAACTTAATCCACCCCGACTCCGACGGTGCCCACTTGATCATCCGAGTTACATGCAATACGGCACCCACCCTTTTGTAATCTGCTTCTGCCCGCGAGTAGCTCTCACCTAGGTGGCTCAATACCTTGGCTATTTGTGTTTTGACGGTAGTCGATTTCTGTTAAAAAATCCTCTCGTTTCGCCATTTCCAAATACGCCAAACAACAATCGAGAACAGGCTATTCCAGTTCACGGGTGGCGGATTTAGTGGATGAAAATGGTAGATGGAAATGGGAGTGCTTCCATGGAATTCTTCCCTCGTCCGTCATCCTACGCATGGCGGGTACCCTCCCCCCGCACAATTCGGGTGGTGAGGACCGCATTATCTGGAGATATTCCGAAGATGGTAAATTCTCGACGAAATCAGCTTATAAGGCTTTAACTCGTATGGAGAAGGACCAAGAACAACCCCTATGGAAGATTATTTGACGTGTTCCCACACTGCAACGAGCCCGTACATTTTTATGGTTGGTAGCCAAGGAGCGGCTACTCACCAACCCCGAGAGAGTGAGACGGCATATCTCGGCTTCAGCGAATTGTGATTATTGTGGGGAATGTGAATCGTTAATTCACGAGTTGCGAGACTGCCCAGTGGCTAGAGTGCTTTGGAACCGCCTGCTGCCGGCTGGGCAGGATGGAAATTTCTTCCTTCAGCCACTCAAGATATGGACACGTAAAAATCTAGTGAAATTCATAAATTATTAAATAGAGAATCAAGCTTACGGTAATTAGCTTCAATATCCTCAAACGACAAAGTAACATTTTTCCCTATCAAAACTACGTTTCCATAAGCTGTAAAATCCCATCAAACAAAAGACAACAGATAAAAGCTAAACATCCCCATAAAATCGTAAAAATCTCTACTTTTTCAAATATTTCAAAAGCCCCTACAACTGAAACCCAAAGACTTT